CTTCTTCATTCCTTGCTGGAACTTGTAGACCAAGTTCATCTAGAACTTGATTTCATCTTTGTAGTCCAAGCTTTAAGGAAGCTTCTTGTGTGTGCCTGTTAGGGAATACCTTATGTACCTATAGGGAACATGCTCCGGCTCTCGCAGGATAGCCTGTCGAATGTTCCTTCTAGATCTCGTTGGAGAATACCTTCAATTTTTTTTGAGGTTTTGTTCTCGTGGGAGAACTTGCTTTAGGTTCATTCACTCTCTCTTGTTTCTCTTGAAGTCATCTATGCTCCAACCCATTGACTTCACCTAAGTATGTTCTTGTCTTCACATAAACACTTAAGAGAATATTAGATTGAAGTTGGTTTGTCATAAACAAACTTCAAGTGAGAGAACTAATTTAAACTTAAAGCCTATGTAAATACTCCTACACATATACGACTCATGTATGCATAGGGTATTCACCTCATGAAGCTAATATGTACAAACAACTATTTACATAGTTACCTTCATGTGTCCCTTAGCCATCGTCATGCTTATCAACCATAACTCATCATTATTCATGTTCCTTCTATTGCTTATCATATATTACTCAAATTCCTTATATATATACTTGTCATTGCTCAGGTTCCTTGTATCTTGTCCCAAGGACAACTTGTTCTTTCTATGCATAACTTAACATGCACGTTAGATCGATAGTCATCATTAGTTTACAATCATCAAAACCTAATTACTCAACAGTTGCATACCTGGTTTATGGTGGGTGGTCGAGTCTCCCAATAAGAGTATTCTGCATTTGGTAAAGCTCGAACACAAGACCTCCCTTGAGCGATATTTAGCCAACTCTTGTTGGTTTTGCATTTTTATTGTTTATTAAGTGATTTCTCCATTAAATAATTTTTAAGTAACTTGAAGATTCTTCTAATGTTTAGATGTCAAAGTAAATACTCCATCCGGTTATATTAGTTTGTCCTATATCTTATTTTGAGGTCATTTCTAAAAGATTGGTCCATTCAATTTAGCCTGTGGTTAGGTGGGATTATAATGGAGTTTAAATCATCTTTTTGTGGTAGTTGTAGAGGAGTTTGGGAAAGGGATGAATTGGTCCACTTGTAGGGGCATATTGGAGGTGACTAAACAAGTTTATCATAAATATGGGAATTAAGGTAGTTGAGAACTTAGGATTATTTAGTATTAAATTATATATATATACACTCAAGTTATACCAAGTATAAGATGACTATTTGATTGTATTACTTTCTTTTCACGTGTAGTAATATATTGTCTCCTCCATCACTCTTGAATTTGTTCATCGTCTACTTTTAGTTCAATTTTTCAGTTGGGATTTGGAAAATTATTTAGAATATCTCAATATAAAGAGTTACGATGTAAGATGATAATAAAGGTTGTAATGCTATGAAATTGACTAAGAACAGATCGATCAATTCAATTAGGAAATTTTTATAATTTGATGGCGTTTACTAAACTGTCTATTGCATACAAAGACAATGGAATAATGAATGTATATTTGGTAAAGCTTTGTAAATGATGAATCAAACTACTAAGGAGATATCTTTAAAATTTCTTGAACATTTAGGCCTTGTTCTTTTAAGCTTCAGAACATATTATTATTATTATTAAATTGGAAAAATTAAAATAAAAAATCCAACATTTGTACTTTCTTTCCAAAAAAATCCAACTTTTATACCCCCTTCGTTAACAGGTTCATTTGACCTTTAACCTGTTAAACGGATTAATTTTTTTTTATAATTCTCTCACTTTCCTTGTCCCTATCCTCTTCGATCTTTCGCTCTCCTCTCTCCTCAATAACTAAAACCATAACACACTACAAGTACACCACCAATACCACAAGTACGCTACCAACACCACTAGAACACCAGAACTTCGTACCACCAGTACACCGCCAGTACACCGCCAACACCAGTCAACCACTCTTGATCTCACCACCACAACCTATCCCGTAAACACTCTCACCACCACCATGACACAAAATCCTACCATAACCACCCCAAATAACTCATACCAACACCATAACCCAGCCACCATCACTGAAATCCGAAATTTGAACCCACCCATTTCGCAGCCACAACCAAGATCTGAAACCCCTCCATAACCACTAAAAACCAACCTCAACCAACTTTAACAAGGTATGGTGGTCGGTTGTTAATTAGTGTGGGTTAGAGCAGGTGCGGTGGTGCAGGTTGAGGTTTCGTATTGGTGGCTAGGCGATTTGAAGTCGGTGGTGGCGAGCAATGGTGGAAGTTGGGGTAGGCTTCTGGGTTCGTGGAGGGGAGGTGCAGTGTGTGTAGGTCAGCGGTGGGTAAGGTGGACTCCGGCCGCCCGAATTCTAGGGTGGGGAAGGGAGTTGAGCGTAGGGGAGGAGGAGAAGGAATGGTGCAGGGGAAGGTGGGAAAAAATAACTGACTAATTACTAGCTAACATGTGGCATATAACTTACAAAAATTGATCATCAACAGGTAATGGATCTTTAGATGAAGGGGAGGTATATAGTTTGGATTTTTATTGGAATAAATTGAGGTTAGATTTTTTGGGAAGAAAGTGCAAAGGTTGGATTTATAATTTCAATTTTTCCTATTAAATTTTAATTATTATTATTTATTTAATATTAATTATTATTAAATAATAATTATTATTAAATATTAATTATTATTTTTATTATATTAATTTTATTTTAACTAATATTATTATTTATATTATATTAATTATTATTATTATTATTTAATATTTATTATTATTTTAATTATTATTATTATTGTTATTGTTATTGTTATTATTATTATTATTAAGTAGAGCAGAGCACAGCAGAACACTCAAACAATGCCATAGTAAAGTGAGAAACGATTGTTACCGATGTAATGATGGATTGTCTTTCAGGACTCACCCGCTGTAATGCACGCATGTAGTAGTACAAGCTATATGATAATTTTATCTATTAGTCCCGGTTCACTTCATCTTAAAAAAAAAAAAACTATTCAGCATAAATAATTTCAGTTTAGTAAAATTAACTTAAATTCAGTGAAAGTATGTTCAGTTCAATAAAAATAATTTAAGTTTAGTAAAAATCAGTAACTTCAAAGAAAAAATTAATAGAGAATCAACAAAAATAATTTCAATTCAACAAAAGTAATTTATGTTCAGTAAAAATAAGGTGAAGTGAACAAGGTCTTACACATGTATAGATTGCATTTTTGCATCAATAAGATTATGACCTTGTTTGGTAAAGAGATCTTTGAAAAGTTTTTAGCTTAATGAACTCTATTAGTGTTTGACCAATTTAAAATTTAATTTTGGTGTTTGGTAATATAAATAGCTTATCAAAAGAGTTTTTTTTTTTTTTTTTTTTTTTGGTCAAAAAGCTCTTATAGAAAAAGGTTATTACTAGAGCTTTTTGAAATTAGCTTATTGAACAATTAGGTTTTTTAGTATAAAATACACTAAAGCAGCTAACAATAAACAACTATTTACTAAACACTTTTTCTAAATAAGCTACTACATCTGTCCCATAATATAGTTCTTGTTTGTGCGTTTTTCACGGCATTTAAGAAATAAGAGAAGAAAATGAATAAAGTACATTAATAAAAGTGAAAAGTACAATCATATACAAAAGTGTGAGTGAGAAAGTAGAAAAAAGTACAAAGCATGTGCAAAATTCATGGGTAAATTAGAAAGTACAATAGATAAAATTAAAAATAGTGAGGGTATAATAGACTTTACATATTATCCAAAAATAGAAACATGAACAACTTTTTGGATCTCCAAATAGGAAAATAGGAACTATATAATGGGACGGAGGGAGTACTTACAACTAGCTTGTCAAATTATCAAATATAACCAGCTAATCAAATCAGTCAATACTATCATCTATATCAACCAACTAACAGCTGATTATCAAATAAGGCATTTGCCAATCACAACAAGAGTAAATAATTACTCCCTACGTTTTTAAATACTTGCTCCACTTACCATTTGTGACCGTTTTTAAATACTAGCTTCATTTCCTTATTTAGAAAGCTTTTACAATATTTAATCAATTTCTCTCATTTAGTGGTTCCAACATATATTCTCTCTCCTTCAATTCTTCCACTATTTTTGCTTTCTATAATTTTTTATTCTTCCACTAACCCCACTACCTCTATATTTTATTACTTTTTCTAATTTCTCCTAAAACTTCGCGGAAGAAATGGAGCAACTATTTAAAAACGGAGGGAATATTATACTTCTCAACAAAAGACAAAAAAATCTTCAAATCTTTATTGCCCTTGTGGTCCATAATCAACTTTCTGAAAAATTATGGCACCATTAAGATCCACAAGGAATAATAATTAGGATAGTAACATTGGTCCAACTAATTTAAAGTATAATTCTGAAAATCAACCTGAAATAAAGGTATACCCCACAAAGTTAAGCAAAATGTGGTTGAGCTCTTGTTTTTTTTTTTTTTTTTTTTTTTTTTTTTTTGAAAAATATGGTTGAATTCCTGAATATTGTTTGTAGTCTTCTTTTTTTATGGGGGTGGGCTATTATATTGGGTTTTGACGTAATTTTGGGCCTAGTTCTAGGAGGATAGTTGTAAGATCTAATTTGGTTCTATTGTATTGAACTTGAATCCCTTGAATCCAATCCAAACTAATATCAAAAGAAATTGAGTCCGAACTGAAACCAAATTATTTTTTAAAAATAAAAATAAAAAAATTCAATTTGGTTTGGATTGAATTTCAATATTTATCCGAATATATGTAACACACTTACTTCTGCTATTGTTTCATTTAGCAATTGAAGAATATACGTACCGTACATCTAACTAACTTAAGGTTAGTTTTTGCTTTTCAAATGATGATAAAATGAAAAACAATCATCAAAATAAGAACAAATACTCATAGATGTTCGGTACACCCGGGTGTATATAACAACCTCTCACATGTTTGATGCATACAAATCGATTTTTCCTTGACAAGATTAACATGTACTGATGCATGTACATATACCAAATTCTTTTATTCAAACCGAATACTGATTGAAAATCATACAACCAGTGTATTCCGATCATGCACTTGTACATAACTATTGATCAAAAGATTTAGCAAAATTACAGAGGATAGAAATCAGGACAAGGTCATAAGCATACAACTTGCTAGCCCGATTATTCTATTCTTTACAAGAAAACATATTTTAAAACTGAAATTAAAATTATACACATATTTTCTACCCAATAATAAAAGAAAAAAAGAACAAAGGTACAATCAATATTCAATACCAAACACTGAAAATTTGCATGATCTTGTACAAATTGGCAATGTAAAATGTATGTGCATTTTTCCCTCAATCCTGTTATAAGAGAGTACAACATCAACAACTGCAAGATCAGCAATCTTTGCAATGTCAAAACCTACAATTTTGCGTATTTGCGAAAAGGTTTCGAGGCCTCTTTTAGATGGTTGGGTACAGGGAGGTTGCATACAAGAGTAACCCTTGCTGATGATATTATGTGATCCCTCTTCATACTCGTCTCATCTGCATTCCATAATCTTACCTCCCAAACCTGTTAATAACCAACCTTTTTATGTAAGAGAATCTTCTAAATTACTCTTAATATATAAGACATAACATAATTATGTTGAGTCTTATTTGATTCGTCTTATTAATTAATAGATTATTAATATTCAATTGTTATATATCTCTACTAATAAGCATGGGAAATTTTGTAATCAATAGGTCACAAGTGTGTAACAAATTAAAGAATAAGTGGTCACTTAAGATATTATTTTTCTTTCAAGAAGTGTCAATCCCTTTCTCAAAACTTAATTCATAACGTCCTAAGCTTGTATTCCCTCCATACCACGAAACTCTTCCCAACTACTAATCTACGTACTAAGTAAAATGAATAAAGTAGTATAAGCGCAATTACTTGCACATTTAATAAGAACACTAGCCTCATAAAATGGGTCAAGTAGGGTAGAATAATAGAATTTCTTTGACGAATCAAATGTGAGTAAAACATTTTTAAGTTCTACTCGCATTTAATTGGCAGTTGGGAAGAGTTTCGTGGTATGGAAAATCTTAGTAAAACAGAACGAGTATTGAATTTCCCTAATTTATGAACAATCCTGTTTTGTTAAGAAACAGTGCGTCTTGTGTGCGGCTAGCCACACCAATGACACCATGTGACCACTTGTAAAAAAACAAAGTAATCTCTATAACACTGATTTGGTAACCCCTGTAATACTGACCAAATAACCCTTATAACACTGACGAAATAACCCATATAAAGCTGAACGAGTAACCCCTATAACACTAACAAAATAACCCTTATAAAACTAAAGAGTAACCCATAAAACACTAATAAAATAACCCTTATAATGGATGGTCACATCGTGTGACCAGCTACATATTAGACTTTGTGGTTAACAAATTGTTAAACAGAGGGGCGGGGAGGTGTCTATATCACTCTCCTTATAAAGTTATAAATCCCATGATTCAATAGACAAATCGTTTTCATTTATCACTTAATTAAGTGGGCTACACCCGTGACTAGGTTTAGAAGCCATCATGCCATATTACACTAAAGATGAGAAAACATCATTTTGTATTGATATATGGTTGAAGATAATGTCCAAGCACCATACCATATTTCTAGTAGTTGGGCTTACCTACCTATTTAAGAATAGTGGTGTCTTTTCTTTGGTGTATATTAATACAATACGAAGTAAGTTACATTTTCAAACCTCTCTTCCTCTATTGCTATTATGGTTATTTTGGACCATAAAAAAGTCAAAAGTTGCTTCAAAAATGAATTAGATTATAGTCAATAAGTTGATGTATTATTAGCTCCTAACAATTCTCCTAAATATAAGTTATATTTATGACTTAATATTAGTAGTAGTTAAATTAAGTTAAATAGGTCAATAGAGTAAATAGTGGGGCATGTTTTTCACCTAGTTTAGTGGTTCGTAATTTCGTATGCTAGTTACTGTTTAAGCTTGATAGTGTTCTTCTTCAACTAAAAGAAAGGCATCAAATGAAATCCATATAAATGTAATAAATGCATTGAAAGTGTGTTTTCTAAATAATTTCTCTATATTTTGCTTGTCCCCAATTAATACGGAGTACTAGCAATCCATCAAGAAATTAGGCTCTTTAAAGTTTAAACACACCACATGCTAATATGCTATGATAAGGGTATCCATACACTTTTGACTATCTTTCATTCTTTGAAAATTCAAAATTATTTAAACCCCTAACAAAAAACTACTCAACCTAATCTAGTATTGATTCCAATTGGAATGCTAAATTTGTCAACATTTGTTTCAATTAAGAAATTAACAAATATTTATTGTCATATTAGGAGTTTTATGCTTGCTAATGCAAATCTTATGTCACTTGATTAATAATTTTTTAATAAACAGAAAAATACTGATGCACTTTAATCGACAAATAGTTTTAGACATTTCATTGACTTTAGTTTTTAATGTAACAACACTAACAAGCGATAAATGGAGTATTCAAAGTATTTAAAAAATAAATACTACCTTCGTTACATATTATTTGAAACAATTAGATATTTTTTCTTTCTACTTTATATCAAATCGTTATAAATAATATGAAACGGAGGTAGTAAGTAAAAATAACATATATAGCTAATTAAACTGGAAATAAAAAAATTTATATACACTCAAGTGTACTGTACATCCAACAACCTAAGGTTAGTTTTTGCTTTTTTATTTGATGATAAAATGAAAAACAATCATCTAAATAAAAACAAATACTCAAGGATACACGGTATACTCGTGTGTATATAACAGCCTCTCGAGTAAAAATCCAAAAAGTTACAATACTGTAGACGTAGAGCCAACTAACTGACGTTGAAAAACATGTCCTAGGCTCCTCGTCCAACTCTAAAAGTCTAAAATGCGTTTTCTTCTCTACTAATATAACCAATAAACAATTCAGAATTGACAATAGAGGTCAGGATTATTGAAATCATGAGTTGTCAATCTTGTTATCCAAATAAATGAATAATAATGCCCTCGAATACTTAGTTTAACGTACGATACGCCTAGCTTTAAGTGCACTCAAGTGTTTAACTATTTATCAGACGAAATCAAATTTGGAAATACAAGAATTTAAATTCAATCATATTTAGGGAAGACAATTCAATAATTCATTAATGCTCCTATATTATGTTAATTTACTAGCTCATATATATAGGAAGAAAAGATACATAACAATTAATCATTGATTATATCAATTAATGCGTGATTTTGACATAATAAATGGGTTTGATAATCACACGATACCTGAATTGTGCGACCAGAGCTGAGAGGGGTTGCTTGAGCAAGAACAAGATCACCAACTTGAGCACTCCTCATATGGTCGATGCTTAAATGGATTCCCGCCAGGGGTGGGACTTTTCAAACCGAACCGTGAAACCGCCCGTTACCGAACCGAACCATCACGGACCGATCCGTTTATAAACCGATAAATGTAAACCGAAAACCGAACTGAACCGTTCAATATCAAACCGAAACCGAATTGAACCGCTCAATGTCAACCCGTTACGGACCGTAAACCGATAACAAACCAAACTGCGCAAATCCGAACCGAAACGAAACCGAACCGAATGGTTTATAAACCCGTTAATGACCCGAACCGTTTATAAACCGAAACCGTTTAAACCGAAAAAAAAAACCGTTTAAACCGAACCATTTGTAACCCGCTAACCGTTTAAACCGACCCGTTTATGAACCGAAACCGTTTAAACCGCACGTATAAACCGAACCGTTATAATCCGCTAACCGTCTAAACAGAACTGCCATAACCCGTTAAACCGTTAAAATCGAACTGTTTTCGAATCGCAACCTGTTTAAACTTATCCAATTACAAACTGCTTAATTCAAATTGAATTATTTACAACCTAAATGGCTAAATAGTAAATACAATTAAATAATTAATGTTAATAAATGTAGATCTAATCAAACGGCTTAGGTTTATACAAAGGTTTATATCACCTAGATCTAGGCCAACGACATTATTAATATCGTTTTAGATTACTTATTTATTTTAATTACAAGATATATCATTTATATCTTTTCATTCCAGTAATAAAGTCCACCCAAATTATCTTCATTGTTCCTTGATATTCATGATCATCCAATAAGATAACATAAGATTGGAGATAAATAACATTAAAATTAGAGTAATATCAACAAGCAATTAAAAAAAAGTCACCATTTTCATTGATTAAAATTCACAATACATATACCAATACATAATGAAACTACTATCACTACTACCCAGATTAGATTTCAGATTTACCAACTGAAACATCATCAAGTTTAGGGTTGCAAAAAATGATACATGATAAGATGAAGGGAGGAGTGAGAATGTGAGTGATTTGGGAGCAGAATCTTGAAGCAGAATCTTGAAGCAGCAGCCCAGCACCCAAGAGCAGAGGAAATAGCAGCAACAAGCAGGAACCAGCACACGCAATAACAGATCAGCAACTTATCCGAAGCAAGGAATAATATAAGCAGAAGGGACTCAGCAGGAACTTATTTTTGTTTTTCAAAATTGCTCTCAGATTTACGTTTCTCGTATCATCACTGAGCAATGGCTGTTTTAACTTAAAACTTGAAAAATGCTGCCAGCAAGTACATATACATTGAAGTCTCAACATAAATGACAAGGGCAGCGATGATTCAAGAAAAATTAAAACAGCAAGCATAAGAAACAGCAGCAACAAAACTTATCATAAATTCATAACACAAAAGGCAGCAACACAGCACCTCAAGCTGGCAGGAGGCAGGAACCAGCTCATGCAGGCAACAATATAGGCAATAACAACTCAGCAGAGACAACAACCAAAAGGCAAAAGCACTACCAGCAGGCAGCAGCTCATAACAAGTTCAAGCAACTTCAAAATTATAGCTTTTGTTTTTTTAAAATTTCTCTCAGATTTACAAGTTGAAGTACCCGCTTTACCAGGTGCTTTATATTCTTTGCCACACAAATTACAACGAGCATAATCAACATTTTCATTACCTATCGTCTTTACAAAAAAAGTGTAATGCTTCCATATACCTGCGGTTCTTTGACGTTTATTAACAGAAGGATTGATAGTGCCGGTATTACTAGCATCATCAACCGAGACAGAGGCAGCTTGAGAGCTAACAGTATCAAAATTTGATTGCCTCTCATAGTCAAATTCATCATACTCGCGAGACATGACTGAAACAAAAAAAAAACAACATTTATAACTTATAAGTACCAAATTAAGTGACAGATTCTACTAATAGTGAGCAATTAAGCATGCATTGTCTCATGTGACTGACACTGAAGTCACGACAGTGAATCCTATTCACTCAATACCAAAATTCAACTAAATAGATAGTTCATATTTCAGAATTTTATTTGCACTAGTCAATGTTTCAAAATTCAGAATTATACAACAAACGTGATTACAACATATATCCTAACAGAATATAGAAAGTTATATACGATACAGTCACATATGTGTACATTTTAAGTACTAACTTTAAGCCAATCATATACAATGCTTGTATTCCAACAATATGGGTTAAAAATATAAAGCTAAAATCCCAATAAATAAACAATGCATGTATTCCAACAATAATAATCACATAATCTGAACAACCCATCATCATTACTTTTAAATCGAGCATAATAAACAACAAAACAGCACAAATCTACCATTTTCCCGTAAAAAAACAAAAATACAATCAACAACAGATTTTACTCATTTTAGGCATATTTCGACTATATTCAAGCAAGAACAACAACAATAATCAAATACAAAAACAGAAAAACTGTATTAAAAAAAAAAAAAAGGAAAAAGTAATTACCTTTGACAGCTTGAAGGAGATTTGAAGATGGAGAACTACCTGAACTGGAGATCAAAAGAAAAAATCAAGAATGTAGATTATCAGAACTTGAAATAAATTAAAAAACCGAAACGAAAACGAAAAAAATCGAATAAATTAACAAAAAAATTACCTTAGGGTTTGACGGCTTGAAGGAGAGGAAGATTTGAAATCAGAAATCAGAAATCAGAACTTAGATCCAAAACAAAAATGAAACGAAAACAAAAACCCTAAATAAACAAACCGAAACAAAAACGAAAAAAATCAAAACGAAAACAACAAAAATTAACAAAAAAACGAGAATGTAAAGCGAGAAATCAGAAATGTAGATCCAAAACACAAATGAAACGAAAACAAAAACCCTAAATAAACAAACCGGAACAAAAACGAAAAAAATCAAAACGAAAACAACAAAAATTAACAAAAAAACGAGAATGTAAAGCTAGAAATCAGAAATGTAGATCCAAAACACAAATGAAACGAAATTGAGCTTGAGATTCTTGATAATTTCAGAACGAAAGAGTGAGAAACTGAGAAGTTAGAGAGAGAAACTATGACAGATTGTGAGATTGAGAGAGAAACGGCTGAATGAGTGAATGAGAATGGCTGAGAGAGTGAGAGTGGGTTTTTTTTTCTAGGTTTAGGTTTTACTTCAGTTGATCTAACCGTCCATATTCAATCTCAACATCTAAGTTAGATCTAACCGTTCATTTTTTTTTTTTTTTTGTAGATTCTAGAATATTCATCTAGATCTAACGGTCTAGATTTTCTTTGTGCTTTTCTAGGTCTTTTTGACCGTTTTTTTAATTATTTATTATTATTATTATTGTTAGTATAATTATTTGTTAATATTATTATTACTACTAGTTTACTACTACTATTATTATAATATTATTATAATAATAATTATTATTATTACTATTATTATTATTATTATTATTATTATTATTAGTTTATTACTTATAAGTTATAAATTGTAAGAAACGCAAATGTTTCAAAATTGAAATTGATTCAATACGACATAGTTAATGACTTAATGAGTTAATGGCTTAATGCTCATCAATATGACAATATCTGACATCTGTGAGTCTGTGATTGTATATCAGTATATATAATAAACTATAAAACTAATAATAACTTAATAAGTAATAATACTAATAACTAATAAAGTAATGAAAATCTAACCATTGTTTTTCATGGGCATTCAATCTAACCGTTGTATATTTGACTATTCGTACATTAGTATTGCATAATGCTTTCATCACCACTTTAATTAGTGATTTCGTGATTTCGTCCATTTAACTTATTAAGTTGTTTGAGTTAGTAATCTAAATAAAGTAACAAACTAAATAACGAATCCATTTAATCTCGTGTAAGTTATAATTTATAAGAAATGCAATGTTTGGAAATGGAAATTGATTCAATACGATATTGTTAATGTATATGTAATTATATTATTATGTATATGATGTATATCATATCGTACGAATGTACGGTTGGTATCATTATCATACTATCATAAGTATCATTGTCTCATTGAATTATTGGTATGTACTATAATCGATAAACATATTTAGTTATTTACATATCTGATCATTAAAACTTAAAAGTTTAAAACACTTGTTGATCAATCTAATTGAATACTTGTACATTCTTAATTATCGATTTATCGTATTATAAGTATCAACTCATTAAATCATGGTCATGATTTCGTGATTTCGTCCATTTAACTTTTTAAGTTGTTTGAGTTAGTAATCTAAATAAAGTAACAAACTAAATAACGAATCCATTTAATCTCGTGTAAGTTATAATTTATAAGAAATGCAATGTTTGGAAATGGAAATTGATTCAATACGATATTGTTAATGTATATGTAATTATAGATTAATTATTATGTATATCATATCGTACGAATGTATGGTTGGTATCATTATCATACTATCATAAGTATCATTGCCTCATTGAATTATTGGTATGTACTACAAATCTACAATCGATAAACATATTTACATATCTGATTATTAAAACTTAAAAGTTTAAAACACTTGTTGATCAATCTAATTGAATATTTGTACATTCTAATTATCGATTTATCGTATTATAAGTATCAACTCATTAAATCATGGTCATGACGCGATCTTTAAAACAATCATGAATTCAATTCATGACCCAAACCGCTTATAAACCGAACCGACATGATCCAAACCGTTCATAAACCGAACCAATTGAACTGTGTAAACCCTCTACTAAACCGGCCCATTTAAAACTGAGCCGACATGATTCGCACCGTTTATAAACCGAACCGATATTGATCCGGGTAAATCCGCCCCTAAACCGACCCATTTCAAACCAAACCGGCTTGATCCAAACCGTTTGTAAACCGAACTGACATTGACCCGGGTAAACCCGCCCCTTAAACCGACCCGTATCAAACCGAACCGACATAATCCGAATCGTTTATAAACCGACCCGCTTATGACCCAAACCGAATTTAAACCGCAAAGAAATAAACCGAAACCAAACCGAGCCGTGACTAACCCAAACCGAACCAAACCGACCCGCCAGCTAAACTAAACCGTTTCAATCCGAACCGCTCCAAACCGAAACCGACTCAAACCGAGGTCAAACCGAACTGCCAGACCGAAGTCCCACCCCTAATTCCCGCCACTCTTTTCATCCCACATGCCAAATACGCCCCTATACTCGCAAGCGCCTCCGATATCAACGCCGATACTCCTCCATGTAACACCTTGAACGGCTGTCCCAGTATTTTATCAGATTTATTTCAATGTACAGTTTTATAATACCAACATTTTATAATTTTTATAAATACACAATTAATTAAATAATATAATTTAATAATGGTCAAAATAAAATACGTAGTATACTCTCTTCGTTTTTTTTTTTTTTAAGTTGTACTTACTATTTTCGTCCGTTCTTTTTAAAAGCTACACTTTCTTCCTCTTTTGAAAACTTTTATCCATTAACAGTCTCCACTAACTCTTACTTTATCACTTCTCAACTCAGATCTATTCTCATTGACTGAATTGAACTTAACTTATTAAAGGTAAACTGAATTGAATATTTTATGAGAAAAGCAAATTAGAGCTGAATTGAATTGAAAATAATCTGTTGAGAACAGGCCCTAACTTCCTTTTACACCATTTTACTTTACAATAAAATAATTATCCACTATATTTTCTTACAGATTATTGTACTACCTCCGTTACAAGTTATGTGCAACGATTTGACATAAAACAGAGAGGGAAAATGTCTAATCGTTGCACATACTCTGTAACGGAGGTGGTATTATTTTTTATAACTTAATCTACACTACTAATATTTTACTTAATTAAACATCCTAAATCTGTGCGTAATCCCAACTCAACTTAAAAAAAAAAGAAAAAAAAATAACAAGGAAGTACAATAGCTTATACTGTAATTTGGAATGAATGAGAAATATACCGATAGAAAAATACAAACCAAAAAGATTTGCGTTTTGAACACGGTATTATGACCCGAGATGAAGACTTGAAAATTACATAATAGGCCTGGATGTACCATGAAGACTTGTACCAAATCAAAAAACAAAAACCCCAATTCAAAAAAAAAAAAATATATATATATATATATATATATATATATATATATAAAGAACGGGATGCATGTAATGATGTAAAGTTGTAAGTAGACAAATAAAAGTATTTTTCGTATCAATTTCATAGCTTTTGAAATAATAAAATAACGTTGCAATTAAAAAAAAACAGAAACATAAAGAATTGACGGGAGGAAAAAGAAGTAAACGAACCTGGCAACATTTAGGGGTGACTACGAGGTGGCCGGAAACACAAGAAGGCGACAACTCATCGATTTCGAACCCGATAGTGTGGAGTGGAGAGTCGAGCTCAGCCGTCTTGTTAGTGTTTTCGAGGACGGAAACAGCGGATGACGGCGATTGTTGCGGCGGATTTTCCATAGAACAATTTAGATTTTTTTTTTTTTTTTTTTTGTGTATTTAATTAATCCTAGGATTTTAGTAACAATTTTATGACAAAAAACTAGGAAGTTGGAAACACAAAATATGAAAGGGAGAGGGATGTTACGAAAGTATATATGGTCAATAATATAGAGTGGAGGGGAGAGAAAATGTGACAAAAGTGCGTGCAGTGTGTCTCACATGTACTCACCAACTAACATATTACGTGTACAAGACCTAAGACGGCAATACGGCGTCGTATTATACGAACTATTACGGAGTTATGGAGTATATGTATACTACCTCCGTTAACTTTTATTTGCAACTTTGGAATATTTTATGTCTCACAAATAATACCTCAAAGTTGCAAATAAAAGTTAACAGAGGTAGTATTATATTTTTTTTTTGAAACAATATAATATATATATTATATATTTATAAGAAATACCATTTGTTTTGTTATGAAAATAAAATAAACCACTAATAATTGCTATGATAAGATTTGATATTGAATTTCACATGTCTTTGTGTACAAAATAAAAATGGAAAATTATGCTTTAAAAGTGTTTGATTTCTGAACCAATAGTTGTCATTTGCGTTGAAGGGTGCTTAAAAATTGATTAGAATTAAATTAAACCAATGATAATTGACGAGTAATTCAATATACTCTGCAATATACTTTGAAAATCGATGTTGGTCAGTTGAATATATTTTAAATTAAAAATCTAAAATGTATCCATGGTAATGTACGAAATATAGTTTTAGTAAATGAAAATAATCTTAATTATTGAATTTTGTATATAAAAAAAAAAAATAAATAAATAAATAAAAAAGTCATTTAAAAAATTAATTAGTGGAATATTCCATTAAAAAAATTGTATAGATTATACTCTCTCCATTTTTAAATACTTGCTCCATTTCTATTTTTTACACTATTCATTTGTTCAACTTTGACTAATGTTTGTGATTTATACATAAGAAAAAAAATATAGTCTTGTGGATACTTGTTGGAATCATCTCAATGAATAGATTATTAATTTTCAATTGATACTTATTGGTAATTAAAGATATTGTGATCAAAGATTAGCATCCACATGCGTGTCCAAGAGAAATGGAGCAAGTATTTAAAAACGGAAGGAGTAGGATTAAGATTTAAAATCCATGAAAAGTTGACAAAATAATATCCAAGATTATCCATTTAAGGGTTGAAATGTCGTTATTAACTTATTATTATTATTATTTAAATGTTAAGGATATAGAAAAATTGTTGTACTAATTAATCTAGTACCAACTAATCCTGGGCACCGTGCCGGGCCGTGCCGCCGTGGGCCGTGCCTGGCGGGCCACGGGCTGGTTCGTGCCGTGCCGGTCGTGCCGGCGGGCCCAGGATTTCGTGTCGTGTCGTGCCGGCCATTTTCACAGGCCAGCCCACGGCACGGCACGACCCTCGTGCCTGGCGGGCTCGTGCCGTGCCGGCCACGTGCCGGCCTGCGGGCTGGCAGCGGGCTGGTGCAGTTTTCAAATTTTTTTTTTTTTTTTTTTATATGACAACATTATAAATTAATAAGTTTATAATGTATATAAGTTATAAAATTATAATTATAAGTTTTATAAGGTAACTTATAAGTTTATAACTTATAAGTTATAAGTTATTAAGTTATGAATTTTATAATTATAAGTTGAATATTTATGTTTTATAATTTGTATATTCAATATTTATATTTATATATTTACTTTATACTATTACTTTAAAATTTAATGTTTATGATTTATTAGTAATTGGTATAATTTTATTTTTTTTTAATATGAATTTACAAATTGTAACAAAACGGGGAAAAAAGGCAAATTGGACTTTGGATGTGAATAATGCGTACTTTATATTATTATTACTTGAGTTGAGAAAATTGTACAATGATAACAATGATAAAAATCATACAGTGATGGTATTAAACAAAAATTGGAAAATGATAAAATTGATATTTTTAAAATCGTACAATATACAATAATTGTCTATTCTTCTTCTCCTTCTTCTTGCTCGTCTTCGTCTTCGTCTTCGTCTTCGTCTTCGCCTTCGCCTTCAAGGTCATCGGCTAGTTGCATAGATTGGGAACTAGCCGAACCCGAACCGGAAGCGGAGGTTCCTTCTTCGTTGTCGTTGTGGTCGTAAGAACGGTCTTGTGAGCAATTTTCCGCATCCAACCAATCTTTGAAACACACGCACATTTCTAGTGTTTCGGGTTTTAGACTTGTTCTTCTATCGTCTAAAACCCTTCCGGATGCGCTGAAAGCTCGTTCGGAGGCGACGGAGGAAACTTGGATAGCAAGAATGTCTCGTGCCATTGCCGCCAAAGTTGGATGTTTCGAGCTTTGTTGTTTCCACCATGCAAGGAGGTCGAGGCTGTTTATCTCATCGTCGTCCATGCCTTTGGTGAAGTCGTAACTCAGGTACATCTGCAACTCCGAGACGTCGCTTTGCGTTCTCCTGATTGATGAATCACCTGAAAACCTTGAAATCAAGTTAGTAGCTTGTGAAAATAAATGTTTGGCCTTCTTACTTACGTTTTTGGATGGTTGGGAAGGCCCTGAGCGAGGAACGGTGCCATATTTGGCTTCATAGACTCTATATAAAGCAAAAAACTGATCCTTCACATTAGTCTTATAGTTTTCTACATCATCGTCAAGAAACATGCATTGAAAGTAAATGTCAACTAACATAAATGTGTTTTCATACTTTTGCCTAGGATCTAATATGGAAGCAAAAATATAAATCAAAGGAATCTCACTATAATATTTACGCCACTTTTTTTCCATTGCTGGAAGATACTGATCATAATCACTTTGATGGCGATGATCAGCGAAAAGTTAGGCGAGTAAGCATGCATTAGAAAGAAAGTTTTGAGCACAAGGATTGTAAACAGTAGAAAAACAATACGTCATGTTATATAATAACTGTAAAAATTGCATATATCTTTCACAGTTTTCCCAATCATCATCATACAAAGCATTTTGTGGAAATTTTTGGTTGCAAAATAATGTTAACGGGCCCTTGTACTCAATTTCCTTTGTTAACATGTCATAGGTGGAATTCCACCTAGTTGGGCAATCGGTTCTAATTTTTATTACCCTTATCTTTTGTTGTTTTAGAAAACTCTTCCATTCTTGGTATCTCATGTTAGAGCTATTAATAGACATAATAGCATCTCTGATTTTGCTGTAGTATGGGCCAATTGCCCGAACTCCATCCTGTACACATAAGTTAAGTACATGACAAACACATCTAGTATGAAGAGCTTCACCGTCTAATAGTACATCGGTTAAGTTTTGTTTGATAAGATTAGCTGTGTATGTCATAGAGGTTGCATTATCAAAAGTCATAGACATCATTTTATCTCGAAGGTTGTATTCGTCTATTGCTTGCATTAAATGGTGAGCAATATTAATGCCGGTGTGTGGGTATTCCAGCATTTTGAAATGTATTATTCTTTTTTGTAACATCCATTGATCATCTACCCAATGGCAAGTCACACATAAATAGTGATATTTATAACCACTATCCCAAGAATCGGCTGTTAAAGATACTCTACAGTTAAGGTTACTCAATTCGGCTTGTAACCGGACTTTGTACTCTAGGAAATTTTTCATTGCGGCGGAACGAACGGTTTTCCTAGAGATTCTTTTATGTTGGGGTTGTAGTGCTTTGTTAATGTAGGTGTTGAATGCGTCACTTTCCAAGAAAAGAAAAGGTTGTTCGGCGTGTACTATCATTTTTCCTAGTTCATCCCTATCCCTCTCATAGTTGTATGTAAAGCCGTATGGATGAAATTGGGAAATTTTGGGCTGGGTTGGATCACTAGCTGGTTTTGCACAAGCTTTCATGTGTCTAGATAAGTGTCCCGTCCCGTTTTTGGTAACTGCCGTGAATACACTATTACATGTTTTACATTTTGCCCATTGTTCACCATCTTTACTTAGGACAAAATAACGCCATACCTCACTCCTTCGGTTTTTCAAAAGTAGCATCTCAGTTTCGGTTAACCATTCATGATGTGTGTGATGGTTAGTAGTGAGACTAGTGGGAGTGGCAGTAGAAGGGGTAGAACCGGAGGGAATTCGGGTACTTTCTTGGCTACCTTGGCTAGAACAATAGTTTTGTTGATCACCGATATAATTAGGTGGAAATTGGTATGGTGGTAGTGGAAATTGGTTTAGTGGTGGTGCTGGAAATCCCGACGTATTATATGGCTCATAGCCCGGGGGGAAGTAAATGGGGTCATTGGTTTGACTCGTAATTTGGGGGCTCGTTGTATTTGGTGGTTCCCTAGAACTACTACTACGGATAAGTCGGCCTTTCCCCCTAGACCTAGATGATGGGTTGTTCGATGCCATAATTAACAATTAATTTTTTAATAAAAAGTGGTTAACTATAATAATAATAATTAATAACAACAATTTTAACAATAAAAATATCAATAATAATAATTAATAACAACAACTATAACAATAACAATAACAACAAAAATAAATAATAACAACAATTGTAACAATAATAATAATTAATAACAACAATTATAACAACAACAATAACAATTAACAACAATAATAATTAAACAAGATTATTCTAATAATAACAATAAAACAATAATAAATTTAAGATTAGTTTAGATCTTACAACCGTGCTTCAACGCTCCACTAATTACGATTACGAACTTTTTAATTTTTTCCGATATTAGGAAAATAATTAGAGAATTTAAGAGAATAATTAGAGAATTTAAGAAAATAAGGATTATTAGAGATTTAGAGAATATAAGAGATAAGAAGAAGAGATTGTGATTTTGTGATTTGGGAATGAAATGGAGGTGAGTATTTATAGAATTTTTGGGGAGCAAATTAGCAAAAAACTAGCCGTTTTTTAGCCGTTTTTTTGGCTTATTAGAGCTAGAATAAACGGTAACATTACCGTTGGCCCGCGGGCCGTGCCTGCGGGCCAGCACGGCGGGCCATGCCCGTGCTCGTGCCGGGCCGTACCTGGGAATTCTCAACCCTGTCCGTGGCACGGCCCGTGGCACGGGAGTTGAACTTCGTGTTGTGCCGTGCTTGAATTCGGGCCGTGCCGGGCGGCACGCGGGCCAACCCGGCCCGTGCCCAGGTTTAGTACCAACCAACATTGAATTGAATGGTAACGCCACTTAAGCGTTGGACTTTAGATTTTCTTTTTAACAAAAAACTTTTGGTGCGTAAAGTGTATTCTAGTTAGGGCGGGGCAGCTGGCAATTCAAATATGGTGTAATGCTTGATATGCTTCGTCAAAAATTCAAAATAATCCTCTTTATCAATCAAGTATAAAAGCCACCAAAGATGATTGAAATTTTGATCATTATTTCTAATCATCTTTTTTTAGGGCCGCTTGAAAAATATGACTACAAAAACTAGAATTAAAGTTTTAATCTAATTACAATATAATATCAAGTGATGTCATTAGTCTATATTTATTTTTAAGTAAAAATTACTAATTTAATGACTATCAAAATGAAGTTATAAAAAGTGGCATAGTGCCAATATTAATTCAATCTACTAACAGTGGCGGATCTAGAATTTAATAGGTGATGGGTCACCTTCATCCATCGATCCAAGAGGTGGCTTTTGTCGAGAATGAATTTAGGATTAAAGAAGCTTGTTGTATCACGCAATTTCCTTTTCAATATAAAATTATGTTACAATTTCAATTAAATTAATTTAGAGTACTCATATATAATGAATGTAGGTTAATATTATGGACTAAATATAGGATTGAATAAATAAAAGCAATGGCGGATTAAGAAATTCTCCCTTAGGGGTTTGAACCCTCTAAATTATCTAACATTACATAAGATAGCTTAAATTAGTTAATTGATGTATATAATATGGTGTAAAATACATCTAAAAAACAAAAGTATGATTGTGTAAATAATTCTTCATATGTACCAGTAATAAAAAACCAAGAGAAAAAAGAGAAAAAGAAAAGAAAAAAAAAACCATAAAATGATTCAAATAGCTTTTAATTTTTTTTAACCCTTTTTTTTCCTAGGTCACGTGTCCCACCTTGAACAAGGCTGAGTCCGCCACTGTCTACTAACCATGGCAAAGCTAATTAGTTGAAATCTAAGAGGGTCATGACCCATGTGGTTTTTCGCCTTACTAGTTACTAGTGTTTCGCTCTATTGGCGCTTATTAAAGTACGGAGTAGCATGAATGCATATTATATCAGCCTCATCCTTAGTCGCACTTATTAGACAGACCCTCCTCCTTAGTTAAGTCTAGCTATGCCCCCGCTACTAACATCAATATAATGGAGGATTGGATGGAAAATTGATGAAACCAAACGTAATTCACTTCAAAGATATTCTATGAATCATAACACTCGACAAGTCGACTGTATGAAAACATCTAGTCATATCCTTAATACTTGAAGATCCAACAATAAATTCAAGGTTCACTAATTAAAACAACACCAATTTGTTAAAGTGTGTAAATTACTAAATCGGATGCTTAATTAGGATTTCATAAAATCGATTATCGAGGAGGTCACAAGATGATAGAGTAGTACTTAAGCAGCTTTGGCGAATCCAACTCGAAGATTCCCATAATCGAAAACTGTGTGATAAGCTCCCAAAAAGATGTTCCCAAGAATCCTACCACCAAAACAACAATAAAACAGTTGTAAAAACAACAGGATTTGTGTATAAAATACTCAATTTGTAAGTTAACAAACACCAATAAACTGAACTGTTTTTTTTGTTGGAAAAGAGAATGGTTTTATTAGGCCAAAACCTCTCATAGGTAGGTACTCTTAATCCGGATTAGCGAGTTAGGAGATGTGGTTATGGGGAGAAGGGTATGGAAATCCCAACCCTAAAATGTCTTTAATGGGGTTTAATGTGAGATGCAAACTTTTTCCACTAGATCAAACTTGGTAATATATTACATTACACTCTGTAAATCTAATGTTTTTTACGGAGTACTACTTAAAATTTCTCGATTCTCAATACATATCTTGTAACATTTGTAACTATATTAATTTGATGTATTAAAATTACGGAGTATATATTTGAAATTTGTCAATTACAATCATTTAAAGTTTGTACTTTGCAAATTACAGCCTAAGAGTACTAAAAAATTGTAAATTGTCATCCAATTTAATTTTTTCCGCGATTTATGTGCCAAAAATATTCCGTCAAGGATTAAGGGGCCATTTTAGGCCTTTTAAGAACCGAATTGACAAAAAAGCGTATGTGCCTCGGTAAAAAAAAAAAGTTGCACACATATCAATACATTTTTTTATATGCAAAACGAAGAATTTATGTTTTTTTTTTTGCCAATTCTAAGCTCAATTCAAAATCTAAAGAACTGAAATGACCTCTAAAACTTTGACGGAACATTTTGCGGCACGCAAATTGATGAAAAATAAAATTGGGCGCCAATTTACAATTTATTAGTATTTTTAGGCTGTAATTTTTAATCTTTTTTTTAAAACGACTGTAATTTGCAAAATACAAACTTTATATAAATGCAATTAACAAGAATATTATGATGAATTAAACAAAGTAGTACTGAGTATATAGGATTATACAAGTACATGTTGTAAATATCCGTTAGAAAAAATGAAGAAATGAAGTACATGTATAAGATGACTTACCAAATAGGCCCTTGTGGTGAAGGGACGTCAACACCAACAAAGCCATTGAGACACACATGTGAACCACTTTGTTTTACTTTGAGGATGTACTGTACCATTTGGAATCAATGCATTAGGGGAAATGCACTTTTTGTCATTACTTTAAACTAAGAAAAAGTTACATATGACAAACAAAGAGATCAAATTGCACTTATTCATGACGGCGTAATAAAATACCCAACTTCATCTTAATCCTCCCTTCAATCTATAGAAAATTTATTTATTTTTTGAATGAAAAGTAATAATATTATTAAATAATAGTCTTACGACATCTAATTTTTTTAGAAATTTTATGTATTGTATTTATTAAGTCTGTTTGTAATTGTGTTACTTTAACCGATATATTGTCAATATATAACTTTCAGTCTTACTCTTTGATATTCGGATCTTTTATGGTTTAAAAAAAACCATTATGAAAATAAACATTGTAACTAATCTAACTATTATTACATGCAGTAATACGAAGTTACATTTATTCCTTTCATAATAGTAACAAATTAAGTCAGGAGAATATGTGAATAATGCATAAGTTAAAGTTATGTGAATTAGAGAATGGAGTTGTTGTGTTGCTTAAGCGAATTCAGAGGTTCTCGACGATGCAAGACATTGGAGCACGTGTTGCAGCTCATATTTTTACTAGGGTAGGCTTTGCTATAGCTAGAGGAATGGGGGCCCAGAATATATCTCGACTTCCCACTAATTTATTGTAGGTTGTATGACTTTTTATTTTTGAGATATAATAATAATCTAATATATATAAATAAAGTAGGCATTTTTCGAGAGTATTTGGCGCGCCACATAAGAAAAGGTATTATTTTGTCCAACGAAAAATTAGATTAATAATTTATTTTAGAATTAAAAAATTTACTCGCCACCTAAGCAAAAGTGACGAATAATATTTAAGAATTTTGACAGATACGTAAAAACAACGAATAGAGAATAATTAAAATTTAAATTTTTTTAAAAAACCTATAATTACCTTCTCTTAAAAATAAAAAAAAACAAAAATATTTATCTATATGAATGCAAATTTTTTATCGCAAATATTTTTAATCTTTTCCTAGCAAATATTATAAAACTAAATCTCATATGATTAATTTCTCATAATTTTTAATAGTTAAACTATTATAAATGAGACTAACACTCTAAATAGAACGGGTATATTAAATAAATGCATAGGCAAAAGACTAAGACGAATAAAGCTAAATCTCATATGACTAATTTCCCATAATTTTTAATAGTTAAACTATTATAAATGAGACTACCATTTTAAATAGAACGAGTATATTAAATAAACACATAGCCAAAAGACTTATTTTGATCAATTAAAAAAACTAGATTTGTCATTTATTTTATAAATTAAAAATTTAAATTGTCACATAAGCAAAATTAGTGAATAAGGTTTGAGATTTTAAATTCAAGCGTCACATAAAATTAATAAAACAACAAAAGATAACTTTAGTGTTAAAATTAAAAATTTATCTTATGATATTAGAAATTTTATCCATATATTTAATGAATGATCTTCATAAATATAAAAAATTTTAAATTAAATAAAATAATTTATTAGAACCGTGCATCTAATAATAATAATAATAATAATAATAAAGACAGGAGGGAGTTGTTTTTGGTTGGACTCAATGTGAAACGGAGTCACTCCATATGCCAATACTTTTTGTTCTAGGAAAATATTTTTCACGGAAAAATTTCAACAAAAACACACAAATATGAAAAGGGAAAATACAAATTAATCTGCCAGATAAACAAATTTTTGTTAATCTGATGGCATTTTTGTAAATATATTGATAGCAGGGTCATTTCTTCAACACTTTTGATGAGCTGTCCAATTACTGTTTGCTTTTTGCTTTTATTGTTTGGTGAGGAAATTACACACGTATCCCTTAACTTGTACATGAAAAGACGCATATAACCCTCCATTGGTACTTGAAAAGTTGAAAAGACAATTATACCGCTAAATAAACAAGAATTAACGGGGTATAGCCCAAAAAGGGGAAATACAAGTTATCTTTTTATTTGTTTGTTTTTAATTTGTACATGCTAGAACATTCATTCATTTCAAAAATGTTTTCACTCTTGCAGAATTATTTTCCACCCTTTATAAACCATACAATAAAATTAAAATTATTTTTTTTATTTTTTTATTTTGAAAAATATTATCTATCAAAAACATAGTCGTACACTCATACAACATACATCTAGATTTTGGCCTTTATTTGCGGGATTTTGGCCATAGATAGCACACCAAGCCATAAATTGTCTAAATTAGACGTACAATGCGAATATTACGTACGTCAATGTCACACATAGTTTTCTCTATATTGTGTTGTGCAAAATGTGTTGCACGAAAAAAAAAAAACATTGATATCAATGCTAGCTATGTATACTATGATGATCATGCAGTAATGCTCCATTTTGTTTGATCTCTTGGGAGGAAATATAAAAAAAAATGATATGTATAGGCAAAGAAATTAACTCTTTCACCTCTTATCCTTTTGACGGAACATGACCTTAAATTTTAGTGGTCACAAAAATGGGTATAATTTATTGAATAGAGGGCCCATTGTATTACGTTAATGTAGTCCTGTCACTTCTTATCTCGCTACATTTTTTTTTTTTTTTTTTGTGAGAAGGTAAGAAGAAATAAACATTAAGAAGTCCTCCTCACGAGGGGAATTTCTAATGTAACTTGTTATCTCGCTACATGCATTTACTTATTTATATATAACATCAATAAGAGGACCGATAAAGTATATAATCATACATATGCGATATGCCTTAATTAGAAATCTTTACAACAAAATATTGTAACTAAATCCCAAATAATTGGATATCTACTTATTTATTAGTTCTCCATTAGAAAAATAGAAGTATCAATTTTATTATAGGACAAAAACTTAATTTTTTAGGGCTTTAAAACATAAAATTTGTAGCAACAAACCAAACACACACAAAGAGCAGAATGAGTTGAGAAACTAACTTGCTCTGGCATGAGAGGGAAGGCTTTGTCTCCAATGGTGAATGAAACCGGAGGCATTGATCTGATTTTCTTACAATCGACAAACGATTTTTGCCCCGGGTTTGGAAGTTTCTCACATAGCTTGAACAAATAGACAATGATCAGTCACAGATTACACAGATTCACCTAGACAGTTAAAGTGAAACATGATCAGAATGTTACCTTATTCATAAAATTGAGTACTATTTCCTTAGCTTTCCGTTCTCTTATTTGCACTTGTAAGTAGATTACTGCCATCTCACAGAAACTACAGTATGCAGTGTTGTTGACAGTTGATGAGTTCTCCTCGTATCCACCATCGACAACTGTATGAATTCCGTCACTGCATAAGTTCCAAGGACTTGGTTAGAATTCAACAGAGTGAACACAATTGATTATAAAAGGTCCATGTAACAAGGCAATCGCGACACTAACCTCATATAACCCGTTTTGTTATTGTACAAACATAAGCCGACTGCTGAACAAACTCTTTCAGGTTCTAACTGGAGATGAATGAAAAGAATGCAACTAATTTTTATCATATACAAGAAAGAAATCAGCAGAGATCGAGTTAAAACCAAATAAAAGTCAGACAAACCCCTGCTATTAGATGATCCCATATTAGAGACCCGTAGTTTGAAACAACAGTTCTACATTCCAAGCTGACTATTCCTTCTGCTCCAATTGCATGATTAATTTCTGCGATGATCATCTGACATTTAACATTTAATGGTTAAGAACTGCTTAAGTTTTTATCAAAACAGTCAATAAATTTCAAGTCTAGAATGCATACCGTCGGACCAGCAAGTAAGGACGTTCCAGAATCGATTATAGCAGCACAGCCATCTGAACAATGACCTGTAAATTGTAAGGAAATGACAGTCACAGTCTCAGCAAAATCCAAAGGCGGAGTTAGAGAAATTAATTGAGGGACGGAGAGAGTATATGATTACGGCCCTCCTCTTACAATAAAACAATGAACGTAAATTAGCTGATTATGCAGCTGGTTAATGTACCTGTTGAACTGTTTGCTATGTCAAGACCGTTAAACTCGATCTGTTAAGACAATAACAAAGAGTATTATGAAAAAAGAGCACAACAAGATATCAAATTCATAACCTAAAGTTTTATATACCTGCCAATATTCACTATTAGCCATTGGGACATAAACATGATCACCCCTGTGACGTTTCCAGTTAATACCACCGAAAACAATTTCACCCCCGACTTCAGTACTAAGTGCATTCTGATTCAGCCAGAGAGAAAAGATTTGCTGGCTCACAAGCTTCTGCTGTATCATATTGTACCTAGTACAGAGAATAACCGATTGCTGTGTAATAATGCAATAACGAAAGGAAGCAGAAGATGTGTACAACAGTAGAACAGAAGCAGAGATCATAAGAGGCTAAAAAAGGCCAATTCAGTATTTATGCATCTTAAGTAGGTGATTATACTGGAAGATGCATTCTACCGCGCTAATCAGCTAGTTACTATAGTAGCTGCAGTAACTGCTTGATTACAAATTCAACAATCTGTCTCTCTAGTCTAACTTGATACGAATTAATAGCCTGATTGATTGACATGAACCAACACGAGATAAATTATAAGTAGGCATGGGTTAAGGGTTCTTGATCTAGTAAAATATACAGAATTTCTTCCAAAGTTTATAAAGAGAGTACAGTAGAAAAGTCATTAAGATGAGCTTAGCTCTACTGAGAAAAGGAATGTCGAATAGATGAAACTAAGGCGATCATTGTGAATCAGGAAAAAGAAAGGAACAAAGTACATACAGAATGTGAATAATATGTACCATAATGGTGCCTCTGACCCAACAGATATGTCCTGTAATCCTAAGCCAAGTACCCCATCGAACTTCATAAATATTAGATCTATTGATTTTTCTGCCAATGCTTCGACAAACACCTGAAAGACATAGGCTATGGTTGAGAATGAAGAAGCAGCATTGAAATTTGTGGATACCTGCACCATAAAAAAGAAGCAACAAACCTGATCTTGGACAATAAGACCACCAACATCGACATTATCTTGGCTATAGATGCCGGCTATATATCCAGAGCCGTAAGGTATCTTGTAAGGTATGCCTGTTGAAAATCGAACAAGCAGCTCAGCAGTCAGCACACTTGGCGCTTCTTTGGAATACACAATGCTTTCAACTAGCTTACAACTTTCTGATTTTTTTTACGAGAACTAGCTTACAACTTATAAGTGAAAGAATGTTGTAATTGTTTAAAAAACACAATGCTTTCATAACCTTCCAGTTTTCCAATTGTTTTATGTAATACCTCGCGACAAGAAGTTGTAAGTTAGCAGAAAATATAGCCTCACCAAACACTATACAACGAAATTCTTGGCATCAAGAAACAAGATTTAGAAACAAGAGTAATTACCTATTTTGGTGTATGTTCTTGACATCCTTGAGCTGTAACTGGAGTGAAAGTAGCAAGCAATCTGCTCGTAAACACAAAGATGTAATATAAACACTCTGCTTGCTGATGTTAAGTAAAACCAATTATAACATATAAAATTATAAATCAACTATAGCACAAACTCACCGAAAAGAAACATTTAGTAGACGGAACCCAAAGTTTTGAGCTACCTGTATCAAAGACCACATTGAACTTCTGAGGAGGAGTGCCTATGCCAATCTCACCATAATATTGAGTATCCATGAAATTCTTCAAATATACAATGGCTGAATCTAAATCCTTATGATCACGTCTGACTTTTATGCCTGAAGCAGTCGCTCTTTCCAGGTCTAATTCCCGCTTCTTTAGCTCAATGCTAATCCACTCGTTAGATTTTTCAACAAGGGAAGATGACAATGTCCAAGAGCAAAACCATATGACCATGAACATAAGACATAATATCTTTCCCATCCTCTGATTCTTCAGAGGAGGCTCGAGTTGTACCTTTCAAATTACCTATCTCAAACCGAGTAGATGAAATCAGAAAAAAAAAATAAAAAAAAAAAAGTCTTTCATTAGCTTTCTGGTTCAAGTGAATATATAAGATCATATTATAAACAGATTTGATGCACAAAAACCCTCATAAAGGCCATGATTATCGCGAAGAAAACTCAAGGGAATTGTCTTCTACATATGACTTGCAAGTTCTTCCTACTCGACCCTCACAAATCTTGAAATCCCTAAATGAACTTTCTATACTACTTCTCCCCATTAACATACCCAAACTAACTACTGTACGATAAATTGTTTGCATTTTAAGAGTACTCAATAAATTTTATTACAACTTCAAGTGGAAAATTGATTTGTTGTATTAGTATTTCCACATTTCCTATTTGTTTACATGAAAATTTGTCTAAGTGTTTCCTTATTTCTCCATTTCTACAACTTCCTTTCACATTTCCATCTCCATGCATGTATGAAACATTATAAGACTATCATATCAATGATCCTACAATACGCTAAAGGGGCTAAATATACGCCACCTTAATCATCGCCGAGGCAATCCTTATTCACTGCAAGGCCAAGAACATGACACTTGATGAACACAAATATATCAAAAATAGAGGCCATATAGAGTATGACGCATAAACACTTCTCTTTTTAGTCTTGAACGGAAAGTTTTTCACTAAATATAAAGTCATACGACATTTAACACCAAAGTTTTCACTAAACAAGAATTAAGTCTAATACGTCAAAACAAATTCCTACATATATATAGCTCTAATTTAAAAAAAAAAAAAAAAAAAAAAAAACATTAGTTCATTTTCATACCTCTACCCAAAAGCTCGAAGTTGAAAGAGTGAGACCTAGTAAAAATGAAAGCTTAAAACTATTTATAATTATATTTTGTTGTATTGCTTCTCTAATTGAAGAGTGAAGCTGAAGCTTGAAGTGGGAAATAACGAGGAAACTTCCCTGGTGGACTTTCATAACATAACAGTATGAAAAACTCCAAGCTAGAATTTTGTCAAGAATCATTGATCATTTTGGATTTCTGGGTTTCAGCTGTTGCTGTCGTCCTGGCGGCTCGATGACTGATTATCCATTTCATGCCAACTCCGAAATGGTTAAATTGACCGGAGACAGAGTACTTCCCGTATCTCCCTATCAGTTCATTCGCGATGATTGGATCCACTTCAACATGTCCACTATCAGTCTATTCACATTGTTTGGATCCGGTTTAACTCAGGACACGTTAGGTGATGAGTCATTCGATTTGAAAATAGTTCGTAAAAACAATTGATGGTCATACTGTATTATGCTGTAATAAAATCAATTTAGTTTAGGCTGGGCTACCTGTGTTAAAGTCATGTTTTCAAATGAAACATTGAATTACAATAAGTCTATTTTGACAGCATATATTGATGAAGTATGAAAATAAGGTTTTCTTTACAGAACTATAAGGGCAAACGAAACATCAACATAGGTATTCTAATACATATAGAGAAAAGAACGAGGCACAATAATTTGAATATCAACGAGTTTAGTTAGTTAAAGAGTGGTATCCAAAACCTAATAAATCCACTCAAAAAAAAATGTGAAACTCATCTTTCAACCATGCTTTGTCAAACCAAGTGCCTTCAACCATGCATATATCAATCAAATAAGAAACAAAACACACGTTTTTCTTTAAAGGCAAAATTATACCTTTTAAATCTTGACAAAAAATTGCCATATAGGTTGATTTTCATGTATTTTTCTCACAAGTTCCAAAATTTTGATAATGAAAGTCTTAACATAATTCAATCAAAAATTCTGATGCATGTTTGCAGATCGAAAATCTCCTTGTAATACAAATATTGAAATCTAATACTGTTAGACAACATCTTGCTTAACTCACATAGCATTATCTACAGGTCTCAGTTTCCTCCAATACCAAGCGTAAAGGGACACTTGTCTACTTCCCACCCTTGGCATAGCTGTCTCTTAATGTGACTGTGCGATTAAATACCAGTTTCTCCGGAGTAGAGTCTTTGTCTACAGCAAAGTAACCTAAACCAAGAAATAGCAAAAGAAAACAATCAGATACAGCAAGAAAAGTATTGCCTTTGGAGTCAACTCCGTTTGAAGGAGAGAGTTTATTGGACAGATAATTATTAATGAGATCATGAACACAATCATACTTTTACAACGTAGTTTTATTAAATAAGTATACAATGTTTGAGCTAGAATTAGGCAATCGGGAAGTCAATGAACATACCTAAACGTTCAAACTGAAATCTATCACTGAGTACAGCATTCCGGAGTGGAGGAACTGCATATGCCTTGGGTATGACAACTTTTGAGTTGGGGCTTAAATCGCCAAGCCAATCATCAAGCTCAGCAGGATTCTGAACAATCATAAAATAGATTAGTATTGAATGTTGATTAATTGATTATTACTGGATATTTGTTGTAAAGGAAAACAAGTTCCAGCTCTAACTACCTCAGAAGAGAAAAGTCTGTCAAACAGCCTGACTTCTACTTTAAGTGGTTCAACATCCGGAGAAGGCTCAGCAACCCAATGGAGAACACCCTAGGAAAAAAACGTAAATTAACCCCCAATTGTTAGAACAGAAATACCCATACATGTAACTATGTAAGTATTAAAAAGAGTGCAAACCTTTGGTTTCATTTTCTTCTCAGGGTCATACTCCGCACGAATTTCAACAATCTCATTGTCATCACCAACTATTACATCCGTGCACTTAATGGGAAACGCATATCTGTGTGTTGGGCATAGAATTTGACTAGTTAGTTTATAGTTCCAAGGGAATAAAACTTTTAGGATCTTTTTTTACAAATCTTACCTCAGCAGGACTGACTTCCCCGGAGCAAGGCCATAATAATCTTTCGAGTCTTTCATCCGAAAATCAGACTTTTCAATATACACAACATTTGAAAACGGCACCTGAGATGAAGTCACCCAAACTATATTATTCAGGAATCTCCCAGCAATATGACACAAGTGTTTAAGGACACAAAGCAACAATTGACGAAACATTCTTTTGAATAGAAGAATGAATGTTTAAACATTCTTTTGCATAACAACCAGGAGGGATACAGAAGTAAAATTAGTGCTGACCTTGTACAAGGCTGAGGCGTCGTCGGATGGAGCATCTGGCCACCTCTTAGCATCAAGGTCAATAACTTTACCAGCTTCTAGATTGGTGATAACGACCTAAAATCAGGAGAGCATATAAGACACACATGACGGATACTTGGGCTTATGGAAATGGTTAAAGGAAATACTCCAGACCTTCAAAGGATACAGGACCACCATCGCACGAGCTGCAGTTTTATTTAGCTCTTCTCTGACATGATATTCAAAGCGATCTAAACGAATCAAACTACTATCACTGCAGCCAAAGAAAATGGGAGTCAAATAACACACACAGTCAATATCTACCTTCTATCTAAATGTCTGTCCCATTGCAGAGAGAAAGTCCCCCAAATAATAGTACACTTCCATTGTCTAGAACTATACTTTCCTCACAGCTATTTAGAAAAAGTATTCAATAATATGAGAGTCCAATAATGCCAATGTAATAATATGCAACTATGCAATAACAAAATTTTCAATCAGTGGGAAAATTAACATGACTAGGGACAAAACAAATGCACACAGAGAAACAGAAAAAGCTTCACCTTCTAGTGATTCCTATACCCCTAACAAAGGCATTTATTGCTGTTGGTGACACCCCCCTTCGGCGCAAACCAGAAAGTGTCATCAATCGAGGATCATCCCACCCATCAACATACTTCTCAGTAACAAGACAATTAAGCTGTAGAACACATTGATATCAAACTAAGTCATGTTGCTGAACCCAGAGATTTTTTATATATTGAAGTTATAAGGAATTACTAAATTGAGAATATTACTTTTCTCTTTGACATCACAGTGTTCGTCACATTCAACCGCGAGTACTCCCATACATAAGGCATATATAGGCCAAGTGCATGCAATAACCAGTAATATGAAGCCCGACGTGTCTCAAATTCCAGTGTGCAGAGCTGCATTAATAATTGAATAAAGTAGAAATAATATGATTCAGATAATATAATAAGAGACAGAAAAGGATCAATATTATGTTCTAAGATGAATTAAATGAGGAGGGTAAATCCCACATTGCATTAAAACTACATACTTGAAGCTATCAAAGCAATCCTGTCAAATGATCAAAGAAATAATACTCCGTGAGCATGAAAATGTGATGAAAACGCTAAACTTTCAGAAGTATTGAACAGGACAGATCCCAAAAAACTTAAAATATACATGTTGTTGGTTACGACTAGATATTTCCACTTTAAAATTGTCTGCCTGCACTGTTAATCTGCTCTTCATGAGATGACAATGCTCACAAACCTGGGATTATGGTTTTATATCCATTAAGTCATGAACCCATGAGCATCTATAGTAGCCCTAATTGAAAGAAACTGTCAGTTGCAGAGATTTCTTCATTGATTGAAATAATTTTTGTCTTCATGAAAATTAAGTTTTAAACTTCAAACGCATCATGATTTTTGAATAATTTCTTTATAAGTCTCCACGGGTAACTATTATTGCTCTGGGTTGGGTATTTCATCAAATGATGATTATACTATGCAGTTAGTTAACTCTACAGAAAAAAATATAAACATTTTCCTGTCTTAGAAAGCAGTCTTTGGTCAGACTCGAGGCATACTTGAGATGCCACTCTCACTCGAACAAAAACATGCATGCCTTAAGATTTTGATTGAACCTAATAGCCCTTACATGGGTGATTAGCTTAAACTTATTCAAAGAAGTACATTCACCAGAAAATCTATTCTTATATTTCAGAATTCCAACAAGTTTAGCTATGTAAATGAGTGACATTAAGAAAGGACATGATATCCCACTTCTTTTGCCTTTTTGTGATCTTTGGGAGAAGAGTAAGGGAAGAAGCTACAGCAGCAATTTGTGAACTTCAAATTGGGGCAACAAGAGCAAGCATTATGTTCTTTTTCCACTGTTAGCTTTGCAATTACCCCTAATCCAAGAAGCTGCATACTCTAAGTGGTATGACTAGGGATGTTAAGGGGGGCAGGGGTGTGGGGCAGATGTTGGCCTTCCCATCCCCATCCCCGTCTAACATTCTCATCCCCACCCCCCTCCCTACGATGGGTCCAAAATCCATCCCATCCCCGCCCCAGTGGGTACAAATCCAAAACTATAAACCCCACACCCCCCCCCCCACCTCCCCACTATAAATTACAAACAATAAAAGATAACTTAATAAGTCCATATTACACAATTGTTTTTTCTTTATTGCACTACAAGTCTATTATATAATATTGTATTTACTACTAAATTTTACTTATTTTTAAAAAATAAATTAAAAAAATTAGAAAGTACATATTTTTATTTTTCTAAAGTATATGAATGCGGGTATGGTGCGGGTACAAAGTGGGACAAGTGGAGCAAGGCGGGATGGGCTGGTACAACCTAAAATCCACCTCACCCCATCACCCATGGCAGGTATGATTTTTATCCCCATCTACGACCCACCACCCGCCAAATTTGGCCCGGGCGTGGATGGGACCCCACAAACAACCCTAGGTATAACGTGCTTCTTCGTCGCTCACCCTCATGGCCCATAATTCAAGAAACTACTCAACAGTACCAAAGAACCCTACTTCTTTCCGTCAAGCAGGCAAACTACCTTAAAGGCAGTTCCAGAGTTCCTACAATGGTCATTTTTTAGGCTAACATCGGTATCAGGAGACATAAGGACAGCTAAA